GATCGAATTTTATGTAATCCATGATTGAATTTTTTGAAAATTTGTGATTTTTTTTTTTAATCCATGATCGATTTTTTTTTGTAATCCATGATAGAATTTTTTGAAAATTTGTGATTTTTTTTTTAATCCATGATCTATTTTTTTGAAAATTTGTTATTTTTTTTTTTTAATCCATATTATTCAAAGAGAAAATGAGAGAGATGATGATTCTGAGGCCACCCTATCCCAGCCATATTATTCATATATCAATATTCGCATATTCATTCAAAAACATGAAAATTCTTAATGGAGTACCCTCATTTTTTATTGAATTCCTAAAAAACAATATTTATAATGAATTTTAATAATTTTTTCGAATTTTTTTTAAGCTTTATTCTGACCGATTCACCCGATTCCCGATCCGGATCGCCGATTCGCCGATCCGGATCGGTTTTTTGGAAGCCCGATCCGGGTCACCGATCCGTTTTTTAAACCATTGTGTAAAACCATAGTCAATTGTGATCATCGCCATTCAATGAAATGATGGACACTGGAATAGAGAAAGCGGGACCCACCATGAGATCTTGCACATTTGTAGTGGATCCCACATGATCATTGTGCATCACATCGTTGGAGAGTGATGAACCAAATAGCATATGAGTGTATCATAGTCAATTGGATTATAATACACCATCACTATCACTATCTCATACCTTCATGGGTCCTAGAATCTTGAGATACTGAGCTCCAACTCCTTTTGGTAGCAAGAATTTTTACACCAAAAGGCTTCAAACGAGCAGCAAGATGAACTCCAATGTTCCCATATCCAAGAATAAAGACCTGCATCCAAAAAATTCGCTAGTTTGCAATTTATAGCTTTACTATGATTATTTTAAGCAAAAGGAAAATAAAAACAAAAATCAAGACTTTTATGATTTTTCAATCAGGAATTTTAAAGATATGAAATACCAAGTGTCTCAGATCTTTAGCAAACTCATGATGAGCAATAATTAAAATGAATTCCAAATTTTGATCCCTTATTCTTAAACCCATTACTAAACTTTAGGAATTTTCATGTATGCATCGATCCGATCTTGCATTTTCCTCCTTTGCCACGATCTACTCCCTATCTTTCTCTAATTTTAACTTCTTCCATTTCTTATCCTTATCAACTTACCTTGCATATTACGAATAGATTATGCCTAAGGCGATAATGCATGCACCTCAAACTCAATTCACACAACCATGATGGGACAAACTTCTCAGGGTTGCGGCCAATTTTGGTGATAGAATTCTATAATTTGAGATTGAAGCAGATTTATAGGGCATACCAACACCTATCCCAAGTTGATGTACTTCTTTGTTATTAATGATGCGCATTTATTACTGATCTTGGAGAAATATTGCAATTAAAATCAATTGCTCTTCACAGCATCTTATTCAACTAAATAACATTGAATTAAGTGAAATAGACTATCCCCCTGAACTTGGTCCACTACATGAATCCATCCAATGCTCTGAAACAACTTTTAACTTGAAACCCCAACTTGTGTTTAATGTCAAGAATAGACAAAAAAGACAATAAGTGGGGCAGAGTTAGTTACACATGTATCAGTGTAACATGAGCAAACATACCGCTTTTCCAAAAAGAGTTTCTCCAAGAGGCCAACCCAACTTTCTTTCTTGTACAGCAATGTCCATTAACTTCTGTTGAAATAAATAAAAACTTATTGGTTACAGCAGAAAATTACAAATCATAATGGGAGAATGAACAACCCACTGAACAAAATCAATCATCCACAAAATCAAAAGCATCATGTGAGAAACTAAGTTTCCAACATCAAATACCTATCGCTTACAGTTAGATGTGTGTGTGCATGCTAGAGTACATGCTAGAGTAGCTATAGTATATAAACATGACTTCTTTTATGAGCATTGAATACAGATAACTTTTTAGATAAATATGTATGTGCATTTGCATTCAAGGATTCAGAGAGAGAGAGGCAGAGAGAGAGAGACAGAGAGAGAGAGAGAGTAAGGTATCAAGCACTATGGAATAAAATGCCTTATTGGTTTTGTTTTGACAATATAACAGTGCAAGTAGAAGGTCACACTGAGTTTCATGAGAAATGAAACCAAAGGGACCAGTTGAAGTCAGATAAACGCAGACATTTACTCAATCACCTTCCAAACTTATCTTGTTAATCAAGTTATTGTACTCCATAGCTAAAACATTCAGCCATTCGTAAAATTTTGTGTGTGCTTACTTGCTTACGCAGAAGCCCTAATACCAAATATATAGCATGCTCTGCACATGAGTATGAATTTCCTGTCATATGGCCTGGAATCCTTCCTACTCTAATTCCAGCCCTGGTAGCAGCATCAATGTCCACACCTGCACTAGAGAAGACGAAAAAACTTTACTACACTGAAACTAATAGCACAGAATGAACTATGAAACAACTTTTAAAAACAAAACCAGTAACATTTATTTCAAAATACTTCATCTAAAAATATAAACTAATATTTATTGAAAATATTATCTTTTGTTTACCTACTAACAAAAGTGGGTTCAGTTGTAAGAAGTGTAGAAATCCCAAAAAACTCATGAATGAGAAAGACATATAAAATTATTTGGCCCCACAAGATTTCTCTTTTTCAAGAAGTCGCAATTTTAATGCCAAGAACTATATATGAGCATGAACTTCCAACCCAATACAAATTCTTTTCTTGGTATGTACATCATGACCTAAATGGTGAGACTCATAATATAAGCATAACCTTCAAGTCCAACGCCATATTGTAGGATAAGCTTCATCTGTTTGGCACGAGAAATAACTTCAGAATCTAGGCGCTGCATTCTGGGTATGCAAATATGGTAATCCCCAATAACATTAGGCACATCATCAGTCTCTACTTCATCAACCTGTGAGAATCGACATAAAATATCTTGCAGTTCAATAACCATCACAAACCTATAGTTAAACTTTAGAAGATATTAATTATAGCAAGTGGTTGAATCTCCAATCAAACTACTAATAGCCATTGACCATTATCCAAGAAAATTCATAATAGACACATGACAAACAATTTCTATATTACATTTCTGCTTAGTAAATGGACCAACAAAGTTCCACATACTGAGAGATCAATAACATTTCCACCTCTTTCCATACAGAATGTAAAGTCCCATAAGCCAAATAAACTCGAAAACTTTCTCCTCACTAAATTATTTCATAAATAGATGTGCACACAATTTTCTTCTTAGACACCAACTAGAATATGCAAACTTGCAAGGGGAAAATTATTTCCACCCCAAAAGAGAGAGGGGAAATGTATTTTTTCACTAATATATGTGTACTAAACCATAACCAAATTTAAAGCATATGTGACTTATCAATCAAACAAAAATAATATCAAAATACTCGCAAGCTAAACCTTAAAGGAATTTAAGATAATAAACAAAACCTAATTTCCAACCAATACTTCAATGCATTCAATTCTCAGTCCATCTAATAGGTTCCAACCTCTTCACTACTCTGCTCAAATAAAAGAAGATTAAATACACATACAATCCATTAAAGCAACACATCCACATTAATAGCCAAGGACAATTTCTTACACCTACAGATAGTATTCACTCAAGCATATGCATTATGAAAATATTGTTCGAGGTCTAGTTCTAAACAACCATGAAAAGTTGAAACTACGCAAGAAAAAAAAAAAAAGAGAAAAATAAATAAAATAATCTAAAAGACTGTAAATCAATTACCCCTCCTTCAATTAATCAGTAAACATAACCTCCCGATCAATGAAAATACCCATTTCTTATTTTCAAAAAAAAATAAAAAATAGAAGATGATGAAACCATAGAGATAGGATACCTGAATAAATGGGTATTTCTGCAAATTTTCCCTCGTGAATTGTACACCAGAAGGGAAAACATAACCACAAAAGAGAATCTTAGTGATGGCATTCCCCTCCATTTTTCCCACCACCTTCACAGCAAAGCAGATCCTCAAATCTATAAAGTATAAACATACATAACATCTCAGTTTCTCTATCCTAAGACCATGATACTTTCCCTCTCTAAAAGATTTGGTAGCTCTGAATAAGAAGCAGAGAAAGCCTACCCACACACACAAATGGACGTTCTCAGTTACCCAATAAAAGATACAATTTTACCATTTTCTAAATGGTGGGGGAATTAAAAGGATCCATATAGGTGACTCCCTCACTCTAAAACTCTCTTCTCTCAATCCAAAACTCTCCCTCTCCCTCTCTCTCTCTGACAAAAATTCATGGGTAACTCTCTCAATTCAAAAAAACAATCTCTCTCTCTCTCTTACCTCTGATTGTTGACTCTGTGCAGAAGTCGGGGAGGATAGGTAATGGCAAATAATCGAGGGGTTTTTAAGAGCACGAAAGACCTTTTAGCTCCGTACTGTTCATTGCGGTAATTACGTTGGAGTTGAACACGATGATTCGCTTTTGAATATTCCGCGAATCGATTCGCTAAAATTTTAGTAAGAATCTTAGAACAAGTGGAAGTGAACTTTTGAGCAATCTTTTTCTTTTTGGGAAAGCTTTCAATGTTCCCTACTCTTATCCAACCGTCCATTTTTTAAATGGAGGGTTAAGATTATTCCAATCACAAGGTCAAGTATTTTATTTTTAATTTTCTTTTTTATAAACTGTATTCGACGTCCATCCTTATATCAAACTCGCACTAAAGAAAGATATAAAATAAAATATTTTTAATAAAATAAAATGGCCAAAATATTTTTGAAAGTTTCAAAGGGTATTTTGGTCATTATTCTTTAACAAAAAATTATTGTTAATATTTTTTATAGGTGGATCCCAATGAGAAGATGGCACGTACCAAATTTCATATTCAAAAAAATTGTATCAAAAAAACTAAAAAAAAAATATTTTAAGACGTCAGATCTAAGATCAAATGGTGACTAGCTCTCTTGAAAAAAAATGGACGGCTGGATGGTAGGAGGAATATAGAACTTCTATGTTGGAGGGGGAACATAAAAAGCTTTCCCTCTTCTTTTTTGGGTGTGGTTTCTATAAGGTTAATCCAATTAAAGTGCACCTCCAAATTTTATCATAACATATAATTTTGATGTATAAATTTTGATCGATAAGGTTAATCCAATTAAGTCTCTATATATATACTATAACAAAAAGACAATTGTTTTATGCGGGCTGGATCGCATTTGCACAATATGCAGTCCGGAGGTATAAAGCATCCATCTTAAAAATGGATGCAAATAGGTGGTTTATCTAATGTTATCAAATTCACTTCGCTTGGGCCGAAAAGGCTAAAACCTTCGGATTTTAGGCATAAATTGAAGAGAAACGAAGCTTGGTGCTACCACTTCAATCAAATTTGGACCGTTTTGGGCTGCTTTGGTCAAATTCGGACTGCTTCGGGTATGCTTCGGACCTGCTTCGAGTCTGCTTTGGACAGCAAAAAAATAGCTATATAAATGTTTTTTAAAAGAAAATTAAAATTTTTTTATTTTAATTTTTTCATTGTTTGTATATATTTTATATTTAAATATCTAATTTATTTATATTAAATTTAAAAAAATCTAAAGTGTTCTCCCGAATCGGCTGAAACACCAAATTGCTTCTTTTTTCTCACCAAACAGAAAAAGACTCCAAAGCAAATCTAACAACATTGGATCTATCTAAAAACAATTGTAACTAACGGTCCAAAAAAAAATTTAATATAATTATTATTTATAGTTTAAAAAAAAAAACATATTCCTGAACTCCATGCGAAAGATTATATCTTCTCTAAAAATTAGGATCAAATTATATTTAAAAAATATATTTATTGCCAAGCCCACATTTCTACATGTGCGGGCTTGGCCGCATGCTAACCGCGTCCTTAACAAAACAAAAAAAAGGCCCAAAAAACAAAAAGGCTAAAACACAAGAAATTGGAGTAATTTCATGAACCAGACCAATCTAACAATTTTAAATCACTGGCTAGCAAGTTAACATCTCTCCATGTGATATATTACACATTTTCTATCGTACGTTTTTAAAGAATTACGTCTTAATTTATCGGTGTGTTTTGCTCCTATTTAATTGGGTCCTTGAAATTAGTATAAATAATAAAGAGGAAACCTCAAAAAAAATATAAAAAAATATAACGAGGAGACATATTCACATTTCACACCTTAGAGACTGCACATAACACATTTTTTGTAAGATGTTATGGATGAAATGGAAACAAAGTGCTCCATGGATCTACAATTATGAAATCTCACATGCCATTTGAAAGAATCATATTATGGAAAAAGTTTATATAGGTTTTAACCTTACATTGCAGTCGTAGAGTGTATCTCAATATTTCAGTAGAAAGGGTGCTTTGAAGTTAGAAAACGTTCCAATTGATCATCTCGATTTCGAGATGCATGAATATAAAAAATAAAAATAATAACTTCAAGTCCTAAAAGTCTAAAACTAATGCATCATGTAAAAAATTACATAGACTATCCATTTTCAAGATTTTCAATTGTTTATAGATCAGCTCTATCTGTATCATTTTTAAAATTTAAAACTTCATGAGTAGAATGGAACATAGATTTTCAAGCCATCAAAAAGTTCCCGATACCGAAACTATATCTTCAGCCAAAATTTAACGGTTTAATTTTTTTAACATGTAGTTGTTGTATGATACCCTTAATCAAATTATCTCTCTTTCACTCTTTACCTTTTATCACAAGGTCTATTTACTCGGCTTGGGATCCAGGTTTGACCAGTATGAACCGATAACTCAATTAGACTTGCTCAGGAAGTGTACAAGCCTTAAAAGGGTTAAATTTTTTAAAACAATTTTAGAAATTATTAATATAAAAAATAAAAAGCAAAGTAAATTATAGAGAAATTTATGTGGATAGCCCACCAAATGTCTATCATTTAAATATGAACCCCGGCCCCTCAAGATCTTATTATTGTGTTTACACATATGTTTTCCTATTTTATTTTTGCCAAATTATTTCTATTTCAAAGTTAAGTTTGGGATAGCTTCAAGTTGAGGTCTTTAACAACTTCAAACCCTGAAAGAAGGTTCAAAGTTAAAGTTCTTAATTTTAGACTGTAAGGGTATGACGTTATCAACTTCAGGCCTTAAAACCCCGAAATATGTTAATGAGAAAACCCTCTCATATGAGATCCAAGGTTGAGGCTTTGGACCTTCAAGAGAACCTTAACCTCATTCGAGAAGTTTTATTAATTAACATTCTTTGGAATTGGAAAGTCTAAATTTGACAACTTTGAATCTTAAAGGTTTAAAATTGCTAAAGTTCAAAATAGGGGGAATATTTTATTTTTATTTTTTAAAAAAATGAATACAAAGCGATTTTTTGAAAAGGGATTTTTCAAGGGGAAAGTCTTATGTGGATGGTGGAAGGATGCACAAGTGCCCTCCTAATTGTTGAGATTGAGTATGGCCACCTCCAACATCCACAAAGGAGTTTCGTATTTTATTTTATATTTTTATTTAAAATAATATTTATTTACAACGTGAGTTTTAGATATACTTTTACATGTTGCATTAAATAAAAATAATAATAAAATATTTCAAACAAAAAAGATCAAAATGTCATTAAATTCTTTCAAGGGTATTTTGATAAAAAAAAAAAATTGCTCAAAATATATTTTATTTTTATTTGATGCCATATAAAAATACACATACAGCCCAAGTTTCACATAAATACTATTTTTATATAGAATACAAAGCACACAGTTTCTATGAGTCTATGTAGAAATGAGTCACCTCTTAAAAATCTATTTTTGAGATGGATTTTTTGGACCTAGTTTTTTAGGACATGTAATCTTTAATGTGGAGATCATGAGTATTAATAAATAAATAAAATTTATAAATTAAAATAATATTTCTATTAAGAAAACATTTGAACTGTTAGTTTCAATTGTTTTTAAATGAACCACCTATTTGTATCTATTTTTAAGATTAATGCTTTATACTTTGAGGACGGCAAATGTAGAAATCTGATCCTCGCCACATGAAATAATTTTTCAAATATAAAACTCTTTTTAGGTAATGATACTAAGTTCAATCTGAAACATTGAAAGTTGCTTGTGCATCGTTCAAGCATCCACATCATGTGGGCCTATTCAATTCATTTTTAAAATATCAATAAATAAGGGCATATTTGCGTAAATTCTGTTGAACTATAAATAACATTATAAGTCCAAATAGCATTGATAAAAAGGTGCGGTTTCTAGAAGGTTGCAACCTTAAACAACCTAATTAAGGCGCACCTTAAAATTTTATCATAATATGTAATTTTGTTGTAAAAAATTCTTACTATCATCTTAAAATCTATTTTCATACCTAACTAGAAAATTTTAAATTTCAAAAATAGTTAAAATTAAGTAGATCCATAAATATATGAAAATCTTGAAAATGGACGGTCTATATAATGTGTTACAAGATGCGTTATTTTCGGGGCTCAAAAACTTTTTTTTTTTCATATTCATACATCTCGATGTCGAGATGATCGATTAGAGTGTTTTTTCAACATTCAAACAATATTTCCGATAGATTTTTGAGGTGCATTTGTTATTCTACATTTTAAGGTTGGAACCTTATATAAACTTTTCCCATGATATATATAATATATATAAAGATGGAATTTAAAAACAAATTGACTTAAATACTCCAAAAATCCAAAAGAGGCAAAAATATACAAAAGAGGGTATGTGAGAAGAGAAACTCACAAATTATTGTCAAAATTATTAAATTTATATATAAAATATTTAAACACTGATTCTGAAAAAAAAAACCATAATTTTTATAATTCTTTAATAAACTTTTTTATTTTAATCGAGTTCTAAACAAGAAGAAAGTCTGAGTAACACAGCAGAGTTTTAAATCCTTGTCACTTCAAATCATCAAATCAAATCATCAATGAAACAGGGGATCTCTCTCTCTCTCTCCAAGGTGAATGCCAAAACATGTGTCCTTTTGTTGCGATGATTCCAAAACTCATTAAAAGGAACCTTTTGTTTGCATCTCCTTTTGTTTGGATGGCTACGAGAGAGTGCGAGATTGAAAATGAGATGCAAGCTATTGATGTCTATTGTCGCTGTTAAATCCATAAATTTACCAACAAAATCAATATCGTCGTAGAATTATTTGTCTTAAGGTGCCAAAAATGTCTAAACCGGACTGGTTCAAGGATTGTACACCTCAATAAGTCGACTTATTGTGAAATACAGCAACATAAGTGGTCTGAGCTAAATGGCCTAAACACCTTTGTTTAATTGAGACTACAAACTAAATGCTTTGTTCTTATAAAATCGTGTTTCAAGAGTGGAACCCTAAACAACATGAATATTATGTTTTTTTGGCAAGTGGTTGCACTTTATGGCTTCCATTCCCACTTAGAGTTTCAAAAAACTAATAATTAATT